AAATTTTCGTGACGCAACGATTGTAAATTTTCTTTTGTAATAATAATCAAAGGCAATAACACTAAATACCAACACGTCAAAGCTTACGCGCTAAATGTAGAAAAAAAAGCGGGTAAAAAAAAAGGAAAAACAATCTCCGAATCCACTTCACCCTTGTAAAGAACAAATTTTAACGATAAAAGCATGGCTGCACTTACGCGATTACCATGTGTGCTTCCCTCACTATTCCAATGTATATACTTTTACCCGCGCTTTTTACCAAGAATGACATGTACTTACTTTCTCAACGTACAATGCGTGCTTTAAAATCGGGTAAATTTTTATGCTTTCACTACGAGAACTCTGTACCAATAATGCTTGTAATATTGCACTCGTCTCGTTTGTTCTTTCGACCTTTCGATCAATTGAGGACAATCTTGCCAGCGAGCGAACCAACGAGTGAGTGAGTGAGTGAGAGAGAGAGAGAGAGAGAGAGAGAGAGTGAGAGAGAGAGCAAAGTCTTCAACTACACACGTCCACCCATGCTAAAGTGTACGTGTGATGCAGGTACAGGCAAGTTATTTAAAAAATGTTATAAAAAGAAGTATCTACTTTAGTGACGATAGTTGGATGAAAAATCCAATGTCCCGTGTGCATTTACATTTTTAGAAAGTAATACTTCTGCCGAGCATGAGGTCGCCAAGCTTTTATCAAAATTCTTAAAATTGTCGATTTTGTCACAGAAGACGCGATGCGACCCACCTACCCAACACATTGTAAACAAGAATTTCAAATACACTTTTTACAAAACTGTATCTTTATCGCCCCCCCCCACCCCTCCCCCTACCCTCTCGTCTTCTTCGCCCCTACTCCAAAAACCCATCTGCCGCCATGAAAACTTCATAATGTCAGCTTAAATTGACTCGAAGATATTTGAAAATATGTAAAATATCTGTCGCTATCAATTTACATTTTTTCCATAAAAATTTCATAAATTCCGCGATTATCGTCCAAAATCGACAAAATCCATTCTCGCAATAAAATCAACGCCACTTATCGCAACTTTTATAATTTTATTTATCTTCCAATTGCGTCAATCCAACTACGCTTCTCTGGACTATACACAGCAACATACAAAATTATGCGTGTAGCTTTAAAAATTCTCAAACCTACAAACACACCAAAACCACAACGCAACATTTATCAACAACCCACGGCACACCACCCCATTCGCCCAACCATATTATACATTTTACTTTTACTATTACCTCGCCACGTCTTCCTCCTCGCGTCACGCATTGCCAGCCAACATTTCGTAAACGCACGCTTTCCCTTCGTGCTTTCCCATTACATCCCATTTGCCAAAAATTAACTGCTTTCTCGAGCCCAGTCGAGCAAACTCCACGCGCGCTTCCCTCTCTCGCGCTCTATTACGTCATCTCTATCGAGTCTCTCCAATTTCGTGCCTACTCAAGTACACAGTACTCGAGAGTGTGCAAGCCCAGCCCATGCCTGAGCATTACTTACATTACCAATAATTCATTAATGACACTCGGACGTCCGGGAGGCACGAAAATCTTTAACCCCACCCCCGCTCTTCAATCACACGATAGATGACTAGTCTGTACTCGCGTGTGATAGTTTGATTGCGAGGAAGTTGTAAACTGCGCACTTCCGAGTCCTTGCTAATTTACTCTGGACTTTCGTCCTTTTGCCCGTCGCCTATTTCCTTTCTTCTAGCGGGCTCTGCCAGTTCGCCATTTATCACAGCTTATGGGCAGGTACATATACCCACCCCCTCCCTCCTCCCGCCGCCGCCACCCTAAAATTACTGCTCTGGCCATCCGGCTTTTCGCCCCCCCCCCACCGAACCCTCTACCATCAGTTTAATCGATGCAATGATTGCGCATCATCGGACCTTGTTTGCAGCCACGGCAGGCCAAAATTTGTAATGCGCGTTGGTCTTGGAAGTACTTGCCACGTTTGGCAACACGCATTGCGCGAGAATGTAACATTGAGTTGTCGCCGTTAGAAGCGCGCGGCGATTGGCAGAGTCGCATCGTCGGGAGGAGCGAGCGTTGTGAAAGTCGCGTCGACCTGGGCTTTAACGAGCTCAGACCTCATTACGGACTTTCGTAATGCGGTGGTGGAAAAACGGCCCCTCTCTGTCAATCGGATCCGGGGTAAAAAGCGTCTGGGCCCTCACCCTTCTTCGCCCTTTACGCGGATACGGCGGCTAGGCGCGAGATTATCGAGCCTCGCGTTTCCAACACCTGCTCCAAGGTGATTTATTAAGGATCGAAAAACGTACTGCCCACCCACCTCCGGTCGGCCCCTTATCGATCCTACCTTTCACGATGCATGAGAATTCCAGGTTGCGCGTCTGAAGCGATGGTTAGATCGATTATCCATTGACCCAACGGGTTATTGCTTGAGGCGATTAAGGCTTAAGAATAAATGTTGACGTGGTAGATTTGTACGAGAAATGTCGCAATTGTTGCGCTCGTCTGGAAGTGAGCTACCTTAAGTTGTACATTAATTTTTTCTCGCCGATTAATTAGTTCACAATCGCGCGTTACCACCTTTAGACAATAACGTCACACTTCGTTACCGCTCGTTATCCCATTATTTTCCTTTAGCAGTGCAGTTTCGATACTTAGTTACCTTCTATATTACATTCATATATATATATATATATATATATATATATATATACACGCACACACATATATATCAATTGACAGCTGCTTAATGTGATTCATTTGACTAGTTGAGCAAACATCGCCAGCCCGAACAAACGTTAAAAATTGCATCAAATCGATTGGGCTCGTTACCTTAGCAACAACACGAAAATTTATTTACTTTCCAGCGTTAAAAACGAGGCGCAGGTATAGCTGGCTTCGTCCCCGTTAAAAATCCGACCGATACGCAAAGCAAATTAATATGATTATTATTATGTGCCCGTCCATTACTCTTGCTTCACCGTAAAGAAAAATTTCCTTTTCGTCCTAACGTGCCACTACACTTGAAAATCCAACCCTCAAAAAACCTGTCAATCACGCTTGAAAATTAAAAAGGGGAAAGGAGAGGGAAAGGGAATAATAATCCCGCCTGTATCGGAGCATCGATCGCGAGTTATTTTCACGTCCCCCTCGCCGCAGAACATAAATTTACCGGCCAGGGCACACGTGCCCACGCATGCGTGTCAGCGCGTACCACATGCCGGCCGTCGTGCATTAAAAGCGCGTGCGCAACGCGATTTCACTCCCGTGAAAGCCAGCGGGCTGCCCGTGCGGCGCGCGCTCTCCCCCTTTTTTCCCTTTTTCCCCGTTTCCTCTTGCCCCTATCGCCGTCGTACACGTACGCGGTGCTGCTACCCGCGCGCGAAAACGTCGCCGGAGAATTGAGCGGCAAGGGGGACGGGGGACGGACACGGGGACGGGAACGGCGACGGCAATGACAACGACAACGGCGGCGACGCATGTCGTACAAAGACCCCGGACAATTGAGAAAGCGTCCCCCTCGTCTGTCCCGCGGCTCTGATTTTAAGGTTAACGGGAATGGGGAGGGGGCCTGATGGGCGGAGGGGACTGGCACGCGCACTCGTTACCGATCATTTTCACCTTCGTTTCTTTCCGGGATTCCGCACATCGCTGCCCCACTTGTGCAAAATGCCGTTTCTCAAGCACTTCACCCGACTCAGCCAACTATTAACCTCCTCGGTCCAATTGCCCTCATCTTGAATAATCAAAAAATTTCCCCTTACATTATCAAAATATGGGAAATGCGCCAATACGATTACCCGGTAGCCAACGACTCAATCCGTGTACTTATGACGTAACCGTCGATTGTCGACACCGAGTTTACGGATTCGTTTGCTTGATCGTTCGGTGGTAACGATTCGTCATTATAATATTTTTATCACTCATTAAAATTACTTCTCTGTGTGTGCGTGTGCGTGCGCGCGCGTGCATTCATCTTACATTCGCGAGCGAACGAAGCATTATTAAATATTGTCTGGCAATATTTTAGTCAAATAAATACAACAAAAATATAACGAAAACCATTTCGAGCCTTTACACTCGCATAATGCGATTTTTACTTACGAGTTTTACATTTTCCTTTACCTTCAATTTTCGTCCTAAATGGCATTATTATATTTTGTTAAGTAGTCGTTATTGTCCTTACAATTTTATATTTACTTTGACAGTGCGACCGAACTATTATTCGCGCCAAAGCTATTCAATTAACGTTGTTGCATGTTGAGTAATTGTAAAGGATGTGAAATTGCAAGTAATTTATACAGGAATCGGATTAAAGTTATCGAGGAAATATTTCCTAAATGCCAAGCTACAAAGAGTTTCATCGATACCCTTTGTCTGAATTTTAAAATATTTACTCTACAGCGGCAATTAAAGATTAGCGAAAATTTGGATAATTTATTTAGCGCGTGAAAGCAGGTCTCGTAAAAATATGCATTTACGTGAAGAATAAATTTATTGGTTGAGAATGGCGCTGCATGAATTTTATAGCCAAAGTCAAGACAACGTGTTTATATGTATTTTTACGTATGAAGAGTGAGGTGGAGCAACGAAAAGCTCATTATATGTTATGGACAAAAGAATAACACCGACTGGACTTAATCGCCTACGTTTCCATCAAATCGTATTATTATCGCCATGTTTTTCTCTATTTCACTATAAGCAAAGATAATAACATGAAAAAGAAATGGAGAGCGAGTGAGCGAGCAAGTGTGTGTGTGTGTGCGTGCGTGCGTGCGTGTATGACCGCGTTCGTGCGCGCGTGCGCGCGTGTGAGTGTGTGTGTGTAAGAGAGAGAGAGAGAGAGAGAGAGAGATGGAAGAGAAAGAAAGCCTAGCTTACACGCACAAAAATACACGTACGTGCTCGTAAGACAGCCGTAGGTGTTTGCGATTAATTCACAAGCTCGCGCTATGTAGGCTTTATGTACGTAAATCAATGCAATCACTCGTAACTGTACAATCGCTCTCTGCATTATAGGTGCACCCACGTCGACGTCATCCTGACCTGCCAGAGAAATCCTCATGAAAGACTGGGAACTCAGTACTCAGAATAGCATCGGTATCGTAGACATTTCTTTTTTGTTGTTTCTTCCAATTGTTCTACATGGCACACTGCAGACTCTACAAACTTTATTTATTAATTATTTTCTCTTTATTTCTCAGCTACACATCTAATACTTTACAACTTTAAAACTTGGTTTATGAGTGATATAATCAAACTGTGCTTCTAGAATGACTTTAAGTATCCGCTGTAGAACGAGTTTTCTCGCTCGCTACTCGCAGGCGCATGCAAACTTACTTCTATTCTTTTCAATCGATGATTTATTATTTTCTCCACGCGGTCCGCCGGCACTTTCAAACAAATAACTTCTCGAGAATTTAGCTTTTAGGCAAGCAGTCGCGCCTGCCTTCTAAAAAGACAACCGTACCAACAATAATTTGCCGTTATGTAAATTTTGTTTTCTAGAGCACAGATTGGCGATGTTTTCACTCTTGACATTTACATTTTTTCAAACATCTTTCATTTTACTTAACTACGTTCATTTAAATCTATATTATCCTTTATTTCACATTAGTTAGTTATCATTGAAATCTTATAGATGCCTAATAATAACTCGTTCATATACTCGACACTTTCATTCTGTCTTATCCTCATTTTACTTATCACATTGGGATCAAGGTTATTACGAAAGGTGGTGGTAATTAAGTTGAACGCTTCAGTAGAATTTATAATTGAACTCTCTTAAAACAGTAAAGTTACAAAGCATGCTCAAGTACTATTTTAAATATAACCATACAAATAATAATGATGTAATAAACGATGAATCGATCGCTCGGATGATGGCGAGTATATTAGGATTATGAGCGCTGTAGTTTCAATTTATGGCCAACGGCAAAGCTCATTTTGGAATTCCGTTGCAAGTGACTAGTTTACGTACGCGAAGCGTCATTAATCGCCTGATTGGAATACATTTGGATTTTCCGGAGAGTGCCCTACGAAAACAAAAAACAAACAAAAACGACAAACCGTCGATTTTCAAATATTACGAAAAATCGCTTATCAATAATGCCGGGCATTTAAATGTGCGCTTTTAAAAAAATATCCCTCGGATAATAAAGCTTGTCAATATATTATTTATCCAACATTCGCGCGCATACGTCCATTAGCCAACTATAAATAACGTCATTGCAAAATAGAGTAGTAGTATATCAACTGGAAAAACTGCCGATGTAAAGTTTCGTTTCTTCTAAACGAGGCAAATGCAATTAGAGCGACGTATCGGATAAAATTTCCGTTGCCGTTAATAAGTCCGCGGAGGGCAAATAAAGAACAAGAAGCAGTAGAAGAAGAAGAGGGAGAAGAGGAGGGAGAAAGAGAGAGAGAGAGAGAGAGAGAGAGAGAGAAAGATGGAAGAAAGGGAAAATTGCAATTTATAGTTTAACCGTGCAAAATAAACTTGAAACTTCTTCAAATAAGGACCGAGCCGCAACACCGGCACGTAAAAGTTCCAGCCCAAGTTTCTCAAGAAAGCAGCGGGCAAAAAGCAACGAAAATTAACGAAATTGCGCCGCTAGAGCGAGAGCCAAGAGCGCAGGTGACGCAGGCGCCCAATCGGACGAAGCGAAAAGTCGCCCTTCCGACTCGCAAGGGCTTTTCGAATTAGCGCGAGACCATTAGTCGCCCAGGGTGGGACGCACTTTTAATTAAACATTCAATCGGTTCGATCGCCGGGATAAAAGAAAATGCGCAGCTCGCGTGCCCACTACCACGGCTAATCGCGATCGCGCGGACGTTCCACGTTCGCTGGGATCCGGAAACGGGAATTAGGGGAGAGTTTCGCTCGGCGCTTTCGTGCGCGTCGCGTGCACGTGCGCGACTCCTTGTGCTCGTGACGCGCGACGCTTGCACTTGACTCGTTAAATCCGCGGCCGCTCCGTAGTAGCGCCTCGTGAAAGTTTCCTCGCGCTTACCTCGGCCATGATGCCCGAATCTCCGCGATTTAACTATTTGGCCCCTTTGTAGACACGCCGTTGCCGAGATTTCTTTGCCCCGGCAATTATTTTATCGCCAAGCCACGTCACAGTATGTTTTGCTAAAGCTATAAATTGAATTACAATACGCGTCCGTTAATCCGCGTGTCGCCGGCGTCTCGCGCGCATGGATTTACGAACTACTCGAGATAAGTGCCAGGAACACGTTATCCAGGAAGGGCTTAGCCGCTCGTCGTAACGCCGAATTCCCAGCGGCAAACGGTTCGATGAATCGACGATCATTGAATAATCGCGATCCGCAGCCCCCTATTAATTACAACGGCAGAGGCAAAATTAAACGAAACCAAATACAAAAGCAAATAGAGCAATGTAGCAAATGGAGGAAAAAGAGTGGCGTGTGAACGGGAAAGAATCTTTTACGCGAGCGGGGCCAATTCGATAAACCTTTATGGTCGTTGTAAAGATGAGTATTTGGCAATGTCGGGCAATACGATGATGCGTTTACATTTTATTCGCGGGCAATATCGAACAATGACGAAATCATTATAGCAGTCATAAATAAGTCACGCCGTTGACTGGTGCAAATTTTTTTTCTTTTTTTTTTTTCTTCAAAATGCAGTGCGTGCGTGCGTGCGTGCGTGCGTGCGTGCGTGCGTGCGTGTGTGTGTGGTGTCGCTTGAGAGGAAGCAGCGAGTCCGCGGCTCAAAACTCGCTCGTGGCCGAACAATGCCCGGCAATGTATACGACGAGTCATAAGGGGGCGGGGAGAGAGGAGGAGAAGAACGGGTGAGAGGTGTCGGGTGGGCAGGACAGAAGGATCGAAAAAAGAACGGCCGCGCGCGTGCGCACATAAGATCGTTAAATGTAACGGGGATATACGCGGCCGTAAGAGTGCATAATTTATTGGTCAGGTCCTGGAGTAGTTACATGCGCTCCGCAATGATGTCGCAATGTCCTCGTGGCCGACGGCGAGCGCTGGGCGAGTTGCTGACCGAGGGGAGGGCTGCCCCGCGCGAAGAAAAAGAGAAAGAGAGAACCGGTCGACCTCGATGCGTAATAGCGGCGAGTGGTAGCCGACGTACGAGTGGGCCGGCCTCGGATCTACGAAGGAAAAGGAAAAGGAGGTGGTGGAGGAGGAGGTGGAAGAGGAGAGAGTGGAGTGGATGTAGGGGGGAGTGGGGGGGGGAATAGATGCCTGGGCATAACCGATTTATTTTTCTTCGTCAACCGAAAGGATAATAGATCTAAAAGGAGATGCGCTAATCCCGCGCAATTAGCTTGGTGATAATTGCATGGGCTTGATTTCGCATTAATTTGGATAATCCAGGCTCGCGGAGATTTCTCGGACACGCAGGAGACAGGCTGAAGGCGATAAATATTGCCTTGCGTAATGTACGAGCGTCGACGACTATTGCAACTACAGTCGAGGTAGATCATCGCACGAGGGAGGGGGGAGGGGTGAGAGGGTGGGCCGTTCGG